GGGCTGTGCCAGCTAACGTTTTACATCCATAGCTGAATATTGATCTGTGTAAATTAATGCAGTAGTGGGTATTTGATAGGACATGTGTATTTTCCCTAATTTGTCAGCCACATAGCTCTGCGCCTCTCCTAGCTAGCTAACGTTAACAGCGGTTAGCTAGCTTAGCCCCACACCTGATTCATGCTAGTTGTTTTATCATTGACCCGTGAGCCTGCTGTGCCTGGTCCATTATTGATGTTTCGTGTAGTAACTTATTTGTCATATGTGTTTAAATCGTACAAATTCTTGTTCGTGCACTGGGCTACGACATAACAGCATAAAACTCATGTAGCCTGAATAACCGGTGTAGCCACTATGTGTTTTTTTTTTTTAACAATAGGCGTGTCTTTTTTTTTAAAGCCTATTATTGTAGTTTTCGTTAAGAGATGACAAACGCGCCCGTTTTAACACGACTGTGTACAAATCTTTGGTCAGTTCTGGGCGTGCCACAGTTACTCTTTAATCATTCTCTATGTCTTAAGGTCATGCAATAAAAATAAGCATTATTAAAATGTAGTCTGGCTGCGATCAACAGTTGTTTTCATTGTCTGTTAATTTGCAAAATATTTTTGTGACCAATCAATCGTTTTAATTACAGAATTTCAGAAAATTGTTCTAATTTCTCTCATTGGAAGTTTTTTTTTTTCATATGACAAACAGCCCAAAACTGTTTACTGACATGTAAGACAAAGATCAGGGTTTGGATTTTAAATAACTACTAATTGATTAGCAAAATAGCTGCCAATTAATTATCTGTCAGAGTAATCAATTAATTGGTTAGGTGTGACAGCTCTAACATTTAGCCACAATGATTCTTAGCCTTATTGTCCTAATTTTATGATTCTGTATTTTACAGGTGCAAGAGAATTCCCCCGGTCACCGTGCAGGACTGGAGCCGTTCTTTGATTTCATCATTTCCGTTTGTGACACTAGACTGGTAAGTCTACTGTTAGGGTGGAATGATAAAACCTCCTGCAGCTGTGGTATCTACTTTAGCATGTCTCATACAACCACTGATCTCTGGCAGAACAAGGACAATGACACCCTCAAAGAGCTGCTGAAGATGAATGTGGAGAGGCCCGTCAAGATACTGTTGTACAGTAGCAAGACGCTGGCGATACGGGAGACCACGGTCATACCTAGTAAAATGTGGGGTGGCCAGGGACTTCTGGGAGTCAGTATTCGCTTCTGCAGCTTTGAGGGAACAAATGAAAATGTTTGGCATGTCTTGGTGAGTCTGATGCAGAAATGGCATAAAAAGTTTTTGATGTACTTGCTGTTTAGATATCATATATGATTTTGGACCTTGGAATTAGGTTTTATCTGGATCAGTAAATCCTTTATACTAACGTTTTGTGTGTATACATTGTAATGTATGTATAATTTGTTAGTATTTATACATGATGTGAATAAGATTTGAGTTAAAGCACTTTTTTCTTTCACCTAATGTATATAAAAATGTTTTGAGCTCAGGAAGTGGAGCCAAATTCGCCTGCAGACCTGGCTGGTTTGAGGGCCCACGCTGACTACATTATAGGAGCTGACACCGTCATGAATGAGGTGCCTACTTCAAGATTGCTCTTTGTGTTGACACAAAGTTGGCAACAGCTTAAAGTGCTGTGTAACTGTGCTGTGTAACTCTGCTCTTTGACCAGAGCGAGGATCTATTCTCCCTTGTTGAAGCCCACGAGGGGAAGGAGCTGAAGTTGTACGTCTACAACACAGACACTGACAACTGCCGCGAGGTGGTCATCACGCCAAACTGCAACTGGGGCGGAGAGGGCAGGTATGACGAGGGAATCTTCTACCCGAACTTATCTCCATCTTTTCTGTTCTTTCTCCAATTAAAAATCATGTAACAGCTCTTTAGGTTTCTGTTTGAACTTTGGCAATGATCCAGTTTTCTGTCAGTAATGAAAAGAAAATCTTCAAGGACACAGTGTACAGGTGCATTCAGAATCATGAAACCAGGACTGTCTTGGTACAAATCTGGCCTTTGTGACTAACCCACACCTCTTCAACACCTTTTTTACCTGATAAAAGTCAAGCATTGGTCTGGACAAGGGTTGCAGGACACACAGGCACAAACTTTCCTGGCTCACTAAAGTGTCTGTCTGTATGAGAGGAGGTACAGATAGGACCAGTCTGGCTGTGCTGTTGCACACCTACAGTAAATTAGCAACTATTTTGATAACTGCTTAGAGCATTGTGACAGTATTTCTCACTATTGTTTTACAAATCAGTCAGTCGATTAATGGAGAAAATACTTAGATTAATCAGTAGTTGCATGTGGATACAAACTAATTCAGCAGAGCTCCTGCTCAGCCAACTACAACAGTCAGATCCTGCTGTTACATCAATGCACAAGTGATAAGCTGTTAATGTAATGATATAATAGTATAACAGTATAGGATAGATGGTATAACATTTTTTCAGCATTGAGTCACCTACTTTAATTAATAATACTTAATTTACCATTTCCAATGCAGGACTTCTAACAGATTAGGCTACTTTTACTGAAGTAAAGGATGTGAATACTTCCCCTACTACTGGTGCTATCGTGCAAACTAACATGCTTTAGTAATATAACATGTAATAATTATATGTTTTTTGTTTGTTTTAAAAAAAATCCCATTTATTCCTTATGGGCAGTCTATCTGCAGTTCAGCTCAGTCAACTGGCACAGTTGCTTGTAATTAACAAAAGACCCCTTTGTTTTCATTTCTTTGAGGCTCGTTGTAGCTGATAATAACAGTAGCTGTGCAATACTGTGATATATTCTGAGATGGTTATCATACTGTTGCAGTCCTAGTCTAGACACATTTCACCATCAGGGTTATTACAGTTATAAATAAGGGGTCTTATTTTTTTTAACTGTATATGCAGGTCTTTTTTCCCCATTTCAGTCTAGAATCAGTTTACATTTTGGCTTTGGTAGTTTTTAGTTTATTTTCAGCTCTTGAACCACTATTTTTAATTGAGGTGATGTTTCTTTAAGGGCATTAGCAATGTAGGCAACAAATGTATAGATTTGGCACTTGGTGACAATTTTTAATCTTCTTTGTACCTGAAAATAATTAGTTTTATTTAACTGTGTCCTATATTTATACAAAATTGTCTTGTTTTTCTAATTGATGTCAACATCTGTTACATTTTAGTTTTCGATCTCCTAGCATTTCTTTGAGTGAATGTTGAATGGAACTGTAAACTGAAATGACTGCGCTGTCTGCAGACTGCTGACTCAACAACAACAACAGAGGTTTTGTGGGGAGATAAAGAAAAGCACAGTATCACAGATGTTCTACCTGCTGATTTATTATGACGAGTTTATTTTTTTTTAAGTCATGTTTTGCCATTTGGAGTCAGCAGACTGCAAGGTTGCCATTTCACATCATCACTAAGGCTTCTGTGAAATGTTTTGACATTTCCCCCTCACAGTGTTGCTGTGTTTCTGTCGCCTCAGTCTAGGATGTGGGATTGGCTACGGATACCTGCACAGGATACCTACACTGCAGTTTGCAGAGGGCAAAAAAATTGGTTTTCCTGCACAGACTAAGGAGCCAGCTTTACCACCTAAAGATGGATTCACAGAGGTCCAGCATATACAGTACCTGCAGAGAAAAAAACATTTTGATGCCATCTCCTTTTGAGATCTTGAACATTTACCTGGGTCATTTTGGTTTCCAGGTCCACCTCTCTGCAGTCATTCCAACCATTCCAGTTGCCGCGTCGTCTGCATCGACGGGATTAGAGCAGTCTCTCGCCAGTCTGTCGGTCAGCTCTGACCCAGCCACTGTCCTTACTAATCTACAGACAGGTGCCCATCACATCATCTTTAACATATCCTTTTGAATTGCTGTGAGGTTGACTATGCAGATAAAGTGAAATGTGTGGAAAATTCTGAATTTCCATTTAGACATCAAAATGCTGTTCAAAACAGGACAGAGTCCCTCAGACCCCTTAGTTCATTGCTGTTCTGTTAATATGTAACATAATAAAAATTTTTCAATGTTTTTCCAGGAGTTCCTACAGTTCCACTGCCCAGCCAAGTACCATACTCACAGAGCCTTCCCCTGTCTCTCAGTCCTGCTCCAACACTACCAGGTTAGTAGAAACTGCAGCTCCTCAGGCATGAGGCCAAAGGCAGCTACTCTGTCAAAGTCAAACTTGGATAACAGTCTGCTAACCTGACGGTATCTAATATGTATAATATTTGTTGCACAGGTTTAATGTCCATACCTGGAGGTCTACCATCATTTCCTAATTTACCAAACCTGAATATCACCTTGCCAGACATGGGTCAAGTATTACCACGTGGAATTGGATTACAGCATGCAGGTACTGTTTTGTTCCCAGAAGCGGGTTTGAGTTAGGTGTCAGGCACTGTAAAGGGTAAATAGACAATATTACCAGGCCTTAGGCTAGGTCTGGTAATATTGTCTATTTTCCTCTTGCCCACAAACCCCATGGAAAATATAAAAACCAACAAATGATCCTGCTTGAGATTATTTCTATAGCCCAAGCCTGATACATCTTTCCCTGTGCCGTAGATTTTCATTGTTGTCCAAATCCGGTTTTTGAACATTTAATGTAAATCTTCAATAGGAACAAATGGGCTTGAAGGTGAAACCCACAGACAGGCTGAGTTAAGTCTAAAAGTAATGAGACAGACTAACACATTGGTAGTTTTGGTCTTCCCCTGGGATTTGTGGACAATAGTGCAATTATAAAATGCGACTAGCTGAGCCTTTGCATTCTCAGGCGATTCAACAATGAATTCATCAAATCTTTTACATTTGCATTATTGAAAGAATAGGCTCACAAAGTTTCATACAATATGTCTGATGAAGGTTTTTACATACAGTAACCCTTTCTGTTCACACTGGCACCAATGAGGTCCCTTCCTCATGTGCTTCCAGTGTCTGGTTAACAAAAACCAGATCTTGTTCTGTGCAAAAATGTATTATAAAGTTTAATCTCAGCAGCCTGAGTCAAAATCAGGTGGGAATCTTTACAAAGACCAAGTTTGGAGGACACCCGATTCCTTTAACTTCTGAATATATTTTTGGACAGAACATGGACTGTGGATTTTGTCGAGTGATGTACACTGGAAGCACATTAGGAAGAAACGGTATGAACTGGTAGGTAGTACTTTATTGATCCCACAATGGGGAAATTCCTGGCTACACCAAGCAAAATGTGTTCATATGTGCACCTGTTTTAAGATGGACTTGAAAATTGGTGAGCCTGTCTTAACATTGTGACTCTTCTCTCAGAATAAATTGTGTAGCAATCAAAAATTAATGCATTTTATTAAAGCTTAGACATGACATTTAAAGGAATAGTTGGTGTTAATATTGATGTATCCTTATGTATGTGATAATGGCTTAGTCATCATCACTGGATAAGGATAATCTGCTCCCCACATCGACCCTGAATGCTTCCACCCAGAATGTGAGTACACTGTAAAACATGTGGGACAAAATACACAGCCCTTGTTCTGTGAAACAACTCGCCAAAGTTTGTCTGAAGCTCAAATGTGGCTCTTGCTAAACTAATTAGAGTTGGTATACCTGAAAGTTGCAGTATTTTTAAGATAAATTTCCCTTTTTTTGTTTCTGTAGTTAGTTTCATGCTGCGTGGTGTTCCAGGTGGAAGCATTCAGTAACTGGGGAGTAAAAGTAACAACTACTGACAGTAACTATATTCTCACACATATGGGGTTACGTCAGTATTGTTTTAAGACCAATTTGACCAACTACTCCTTTAAAGTACAACACGGGCTATGAAATCTGAACAAAGCCCACTTGATAATGATCAGTGTTTCTGTGGGGTAACAGATTTTGGGTTGTGTTGTACTTCACAGGTCTTCCACCTCTCAACCTACCAGGTGTTACGCTGCCTCCATCTGACTGTGTTCTTCCCCAAGTCATTACTACCGTGGCTCCTGCTGTTACGCTGGATACAACAATCTCTTCTTCCACTATCCAAATGAACAGTTCACTGACCAGAGCACCCATCCCATTACCTGTAACCACCTCTCAATCAGTAAATATCACAATGGCTGCAGACTCCTCTTAGCAGAGAGCACCAGTTAACTTGTTTTTAAGTCCTTGCACAATATAGCCAGTCTTAGTTGCACCACTCAGTTGGCAAATTGATCCTACACATTTAGGATTGCTATACAAGAACTGTAGTATCTTGAAGATACTGGAATACACTACTGGTCTCCTCACATGTACCAAACCACCCAGGTAGCCAGAGTTCTGCAACTGAAGAGCACTGCAGAGTTAAGCAGTCAAGGAAATGAAAAATCACTGAAATGTCTCGGTACAAAAATACACTGTGCACTGGGTAAAAAGTGTTGACAAATTGGACTTATTGGACTTGTTAAACTGGGGGAAGTAAGTTACTTTTGTGTGCAAGTCAGTTTTTTTTTTTGTGTCTTTAGGGGTCAAACTACTGGGGACATTCCTTTAGAAAAGGGGGTTTGCTTGCTCCAGCATTCAAATATATCAAATGGTTTTGTACAAAGAATTTGTTATGCGATTAAACGGATGTATTTTCTCTAACTATCCACTCCCTACTTTGCATTTTTATGCTCATCAAGTTTATCACGACTGGTGCACCCACTAACAAAGCAGTATCAAAGAAAGCCACAGGATGTCAGTATAATCTTAGAAAATGAAGACAATACTGGTAGATTGCACCCTGAAATATGAGGCATATCATCAACTGATGGGTAGGGATGTTAATGAAACATACAATACCATTCACTGGGAGAAAGTGTTTCCTGGTATTTATTATTCACTCTTGGTAGAACCATACAGTCTGTACCTAAAGTGGAACATAAAGCCCTTGAAAAAGTAAGAGCATCAGAGCAGCAAATTGAAAGCACTCAAGGAAATTAGTTTTACACGTGAACATTTTAGCTCTGTACATATTACTGCTGCAGCTCAAATTTGGAAAATTCACCTGTACAGCATATACAGTTTCCAATTAGTTAATATTCCTGCATAGGATTTTACAGTCATTTTCTACATTTGGTTACTTTGTGCATTAAACGCAAGTATGCTGCTCCAACCTATGTGTCACTAGATGCCACTTGTATGCTACACATTACATTCTCTTGGCTATAGTAACTCAAATTTAAGCCTAACATTTGTGAGAACAGAACCATTTAGCCAAATTAACTGAAACCTTGGTGGTTCTAAAATGACTGTCTTCTCATCACAGTAAATTAACCTCTAGCAGCTCAGTCAGTTGCAGCCTGGCAGGACCATGTTATTTAATCTAAATGACAGGCTGCCAAATCTCCCTTTGGCCCTTCAAGGCTTTATCCATTCACAACATCTGGACAGTGTCCAGTCACATTTTCTTCAAGGTACGTCGTCAGTTTCAGTGCTTCTCTGTTGGACCCTCAAAAGATCCTTTAACTCATGTCCCTTAAAAACATTCACAATCCCTCCATTGATCAAGCCTGGGTAAAGGAGAAGCAGCCTGGCACAGGCCAGAGGAGGCCAGGTGAGATCTCCCTACTTGTGCCCTGCTCCTTCCGGTTGCTTTTCCCACAAGCCTAAGCCTCTAAGGAGCACTGCAGGTGTGGGAGCAACTTGGTCAGGTTGCCTTTCCATCACAGTCCAAGGCTGTTAGTATGAGATGATGCTGGTCCTGAGCCAGCAGCGCTCATATGCAGATTTCCAGAGGAGGTTGACCTCCGCATGTGTGGGAGCAAGTAGGGGTCGCTTCCCAGCTGGTGAACGTCAATCCGGTCTTCCTTCCTGTACGCCAGGCACCGCCTTATGAAGGCCTGGGGAATAGCATCAGCAGTGTTAGATTGTTTTAGAACAGATTTTTCACTAGACAACACTTTAAACTGACCACATGCTTCACCCACCTTTGCTTCATTACTGGCAACAGGCTTGACAGGAAACTGGACATCAGTTGCTTTGAGTATGGTGTTCTCCTGTAGGATGTCCTGTTGTGACTGATTGTGGCCAAAAGGCTGAAAAGGAGGAACAGTTCTTAATAATCAGGAATAAATTAGAAAGGCAAAAAAAAAAAAAAAATCTGCATTTCCCTCCTTACCTTTCTTCCATAGAGACATTGGAAAAAGATAACACCCACAGACCACACATCCACCTTGTTGGAGATCTTTGGAGGCTCTTTACCAACCACAAAACATTCAGGGGGCAAGTACCTGGCCAGAACAAAATGAAGTGTATGTACAGTACAAGCTGTCTATTATTCACTTCAATGTCTAGTGCTGGAAAGTAACTTTGCACATTTACTCATGTACTGTAATTAGAAAAACTTAAGTATTTTACTGGAATGTTTCTATTTTACATACTTGTGTTGTACTTTATTTCTCCACTGCATTTAATGAACTGATGTTACTAGTTAGCTTTTATATCACAATGTTTACATACAAAATATGATCAGCTGATAAAATTAAATACAGATGTGAGATGAAACTATAGTGCATAAGTTAAACTTGCCTCACCTCAAATAATGACAACATTCAGACTTGCATAATAATAATACAACACTGATGGGGATCAATTTGCAACTTTTATCTCTGGTATTTGTTAATACTTATGCACATTTGCTTAACTAAAAATGTGAATGCAGAACTTTTATTTGCAGTGGAGTATTTTTAAACTGTCCATGTCCTTATATGCGATGTCTTCTACTTGTATAGCGCCTTTCTATGCTTTTACAGCACACTCAAAGCGCTTTCACATTATTCGGCCATTCACCCATTCGTACTCCCAAGCACTCACACACCGGTGACATCACCGGGAGCAACTGGGGGTTCAGTGTCTTGCTCAAGGACACCTCGACATGTTGACTGGACAAGCCGGGAATCGAACCGCTAATCCTCCGGTTAGGAAACGACCCGCTCTACCTCCTGAGACACAGCCGCCCCCATGTATGTATAGACATTTCTCCTTACCAATAGGTCCCTGCACCCTGCGATGTCAGGTCCATCCCATCTACACCATAGTTGTCATCATCCATGATTTTGGACAAACCAAAGTCAGTGATTTTGATTTCCCCACAGGCTGTGCCATCCACCAACAAGATATTGCCTGAAAGCCAAAGTGCAATACATCAGAACTAAAGGAAAACCATGGCATAGGTAACAGACACATTTGATATAATCTCATTTAAAGCAGAATGTGATATTTTCTTGAATAGATGTGATGACTGTCATCAGTTGTCCAGAAGGGTATAATTACCTGGCTTAAGATCATAATGGATGATCGGGGGCTTGATTTCATTCAGATATTTTAGTGCATTCACAATCTGCATGACTATGGACCGTGCCTCCTTCTCAGACATTAGCTTATGCTGCTTCAAGTAAAAATCCAAGTCGTTGCCTTTGCAGTATTCCATAACAGTGCAAAACCTATTGAATAGAAAAAAGAAAGATGTAAGAAATACAGCCCACTTCAAATTCAGAAACGGTATAAATGTTTAAAAGAGACTAACGTGTCTGTGTCCAGTGAGAAGTAGTCATAAAGTTTCACAATTCGAGGATGGTCCAGCTCCTTGTGTATTCTGTACTCTCGACAAGCATGCCTGTTGAGAGAATGGTAATTATTGCTTTTATTAGCAACCAAAGCAGGAAGGTGCAGGTGTACTGGGGCTTATAGAGGAGAAGAATAACAACATGCTGAAAGTATGACATTTAAATGCTGCTTATAGTAGGCTATACTGCAGTTGAGGTTACACATTCGCACAAGGGCCAGCATACTTGTGGTAGTTCTCCTTCTTCTCTTCTCTCCAGTTCTTGTTAAGTTGATGGATTTTCACAGCAGCATATCGTTGCTCAATTAAGTCAAAAGCCTGTACAACACACACACACACACACACACACGGTTTATACACAATACCTAATAAGAGACTTTTTTTAAATTACAACATTTAATGACATACCTTGTAAACTTCACTAAAGCCTCCTCTCCCTAGAAGGTGCAGGAGCAGATATCGTTCATTCAGCGTTGGGTGATCTTTAAATCTTAGGATGGGACAAAAAAAATAAAATTAAAATAAATTAAAAAAAAAAAAAAAAAAAGGCACAGAAAACAATTCCAATTACACTTATAGATCCAACTACCAATAACATTCTTGAGCATCAGCTTTGCTATGTCATGATAAATGTTTTAACAGTCAGGTCAGCAGGTACAGTGCTACTTAATGTCACTGCTATGGCTTTACTGGCCTCGTGTTCCAATGTCAAAATAGTTAATGTCAAGGAAATTGATTCACACTCACTGTGAAGTGTCTTCGTTATTTATTCTCTTCAGCTCCCGAATGTGAAGGTTGCGCACTCTCTCCAGACGCTCCAGCTCCGCCTGGATCTCAGCTTCTTCCTATAAATGATTTAAGCCCACAGACAACTTCAGAGTAGCGACTACAAGGAGAGAAGCTCCAAAAAACCCTTGTACAGAGCTGATTAGTTCAC